AGGGTTTTTTATACTTTGGGAAAATTCTCATAATTTTTTTTCTTTTGTACTTATTGAAAAAAACTTGCTGTTACTCTGATAGGGTTTGGTTCAGGTATACTCTCACCCAATTTGATCAAATTTGGTCTGTAAATAAGAAAGCCTTAGGGATTTCAAATTCATTGATTATTTTCAAGATGGCAGCCGTTTCCATAGCAACCGTTGTAGCTATGCCAAAATAAAATTGCGTATCAGGAGATTTTACTATGTCTAACTTATTTGTGTACTTAGATTTGTTCTCGGGCAACAAACATAGAAAATGGTCCGCAAGGGTAGCTCCTCCCATTAAAACAGAGATGAAGGAAAGAGAATCCAGAGTGCAACAACTTATTAGTGAACCCCTATGGTCTTTTTTGAGCACCTTCAAATCGGCAAAGTGCTTTTTTAATGTTGACAATAAAATAGGTTACTACTCTCCCGGAACCCCCCCCCCGTTTTCGTAAGATCAGGGGGGCAAGCCCCCTTGCCTAGTTAAAAACAAGTGAAATTTTACTGCTCATTTTGTAGGCTAGATATCTACTGATAAAACATTGATACCCAATATTTAAATCAGTATCGATATCCAGTACTCTCAAAGAGTCTACATACTCATAACAAGAGGGTTCACTCCTCTCTTTGAGCGAATTAAAAAAGTGTCCTCAAAATTTGGTGGCGCCCTCTTCGCAAAAACGCACCCTTTGCGAACAGTTACCCTACTTGTGTGAAAAAAATCACAGTCAAATTAACAAGTTTTTGAATAAATAAGAATTCAAATTTCGGAAGAACACTTTTTTAAATGGTTACGTTGACAAAATACCTCTTCCGGAGGAGGAGCCTAGGCGACTGTTTTAGATTCGTTTAATTTGATTTTAGAATCAGAGACGAGAGGTCATTAAAATTTTTAAAACCCTAAAACTCCGCACTGAACGATCCTGAACAGCTGATGAAAAGCAGTCGATCTGCGCACGCAAGGGGGTGCTATTCCTATTATTCATCTTGAGAAACGAAAGAGAGCTTCAAAACAAAGACTGCAGCGCCATCTGAGACATAGCGCGGACTTCTGCGGACACTTTTTTCGCAGAATGAACCATCTTGGTATACATCAATCTACTATCTTTGGTACTCTGTGTGGATGGAAGCCAAGTCCAAATACAGACGGGACCCAGATCTTTAAATAGATTCTAGATATATATTTAGATCTAGATCTAGATATGAACAATTATCTGTCCCTATGATTTTATGCACCCCGAATAATTTAGCAAAATTTGATCATTTTTTTCATAATTTCAGCGCTTTTTCTGTAGATTAGTTCCCACCCTGCAATTGTTAATTCCCGGGTTTTGGCCCCAAGAGTAGGGGGTTTCGAGGGGGGGGGGGGGGGGCAGCAACCCCCTGACCTAATAAAAATAAGGTGGGGGGTTTCAAGCGGGCATGCCCACCAGATTTTACCATTATATTCGATGTTTTGCAGTAGTTAGGTTTGATATCTTAGCTTGCCGCGCATCAAACGTATAGATCTAATCTAGATTCTAGATCTAGGCTCAATTAAGGGGGGTTGGGAACTACTGAAAAAGTACCTAATTTCTGATTATTTTCCTTTATCATTCTTTGTTAAAATGGTAAATTTTTACTTTCACTCCCGCACACAGAAGCTGCTTCAGGGGTCAAACTGCTGTACTGTTTGCTGTAGATCACACATAACGCCACTAAAACTGTCGCAAATCAATTATTTTCAGGAAAACTTCAAATCTAAAAATATCAAATAATGAGTTAAAACAGGGGGGCATGCCTCCCTGTAACCCCCCAGATTTTCTTTTACCCCAGGTGGGCAGGCCCCCCTGGAACCCCCCGATTGGTCCAAAGCATGTCTATCTCGATTACAACAATCAATTATTTCAAAATCTATTAATTTGCGACGGAAAAGAAGTTGATATTCGTGTTCAGCGCATCAATATTTAGTAGAAAATGGACAACTGGTAGCCAAGTGTGAGACGGGAGGGAAAGTGAAAAAAATGCCGTTAAAATTAACAGAATCGCATAATTTCACATTTTTGGGCTCAGTTTTCATAATTTGGTAAGATACCGGACCAGCCGACTGGGACTACTTAACTTAGCCTATGTCTCAACCTTAGGAATTCATGATTTTCCCCAGTTTTTAATATAAATCTAGATTTTTCTATCTCTCAATGGAGAATCTCTATTTCGGACAGGTAGACCTATTCATAAAAGATTTGTCAGGGCTCCCCCCAGAACCCCC